CCTTTTAATGATAGAGTGAATATATGAGAAAGTAGTGTCTTTTCTATTTGTAGCCAGCTGAAGGTACTGGAGTCCTTTCTATTTGTATATATTGATGATTAATCATGCTCTGGTAACTTCCAACTGAAGCACCACACAACAGCATAATAATGCATAAAATAGCAGAATTTATTTTCAAGATATAAATCCTTGAAAAACCAGTATAAAAGCGATTAACAATTTCATGAAGAAGGTTAATTGACACATGTAAGAGACCACATATTAATTTCTGAAACTGTTTGCTTAAAATGCAAATTGAACCCAGAAAAACAAATCTGACAAAAGCAGTTCATGGGAAATAATAAACTACCTTAAAATTGTATGTAGCAGCAAAAATAAAGAAACTACCTTAAAATTCTGTGCACCAACAGTTAAAAAAGTACAAAATTATGTTTTTATATTTTCATATACCATTTGAGTTGATATATCAGATTTATGCAGATTGAAAATATACATATAAAAAGAGGAACCACTTACTGTAATGTGAATAATATTTGTTATAATATGAAACAAAAACTTTTCTGTTTTTATTATATTATATACAATATAATTAAGTAAGTAAGCCTTGCAACTGAATATGTACAGTGAACAGGAAGGGAACACTACAGATAAATACTTAAATGAAACTTCCTTTTTATTGTAATGAAAGACACCAAAGGCTTATGCAAGCAGACAGGAATTTTTCTCCAAAGTATTGCCTTTCTTACTATCAGAAGTTATTTAGATGTTAAATTCTGCAAAACTGATATTTCTTTCTTACCCTATTAAAATTTTCTTAGAGTAAAGAAATATGTGATAATACAAGTTATCATGTCCCCAATATTAAAAAGTTAAGCAGTGATGAAGATTTAGTCTAAAGTGAGAAAACAGGTAAATATTCAAAGTACTTACAGAAAGACAAATTCGAACTTACACAATATAAATATGATTAATTTGAAAGAAATATGAAAAACTTCTAAAAGAAGCATTAAATTTTTGAAAAAATGTATTGGGCAACATTGTAAATTTTGCACTGTAAATTTTTTAGTTTTACAATATTTGAGAAAATTTAATATATGCTTTGCAAAAGCACTTATACAGGGTGTTTCCGAATTTGACCGACAAATTCAGAGCGGTGATATTAGGCACAAAGAATAAGAAAAACTGACATAGAACATGGGGTTGCAAACCACATTTAATGGGAGAAAATTGCAAAAATAGTTATGAATGGTGTGATGTCAAATGGAAGAAAATGGGTTAATAACAAGGAAGAAAACATTTTTTTTTCCATGTAAAGTAGGATTACAGTGCATCACAGTTCAAAATCAGAAAGGAGATGATGAGATAATTTTATACAAACTGTTCAAAATTGTGGCAGCTAAGGTTATTGTACAGCCGACACCAACAGACAAAGGATTGCTGGATGTGTTCAAACATATCCGGTGTGCTGGCGATGTCTGCCTTAGTGACGACGATCCATGCTGTCAGATACTCTAGTGTATCCACAAGCATCTGATAAACAATCAATTTCAGGTGGCCTCAGAAGAAAAAATCCAAGGGATTGAGGTCTGAGAACCATGGAGCCCAAGCAACAGGCCAGCCATGACCAGTCCACTCCTTGGCATATGTAGCATTGAGGTGGTTATGCATCAAAATTGCAAAAATGTGCTCATGCACCATCATGCACAAACCATATATTTTGGTGCACAGTGGCTGGTATTCCCTGCATCAAATCTGAGAAGATGCGCTGTAGGAAAACAACGTAATTTACACCACTGAGGCATTTGGGGAAAAGGTATGGTCCCAACAGATAATCTCCGAGAATCCCTGCCCAGATGTAATACCGAACTTGTGCTGCACTTTCAACAAGACAGTGCTGTGGGTATTTTTGGATGATCACATATGAGCATTGTGCTTGTTGATCATGACTTCTCTTGTAAAGTAGGCTTCATCTAAGAATAAAAGTGGTGGGAAACTTTGAATCATTCTGTGTGGCATCAACATATGAACACTAAGGGGAGTTGTCAGCATTGCCTAGGAGTTTGACCTGCATGTGGAAGGGGTGCATGTTTTTCGCACATAAAAGTAATTACGCGAGTAAGTAAGAGTAAGGAAAATAGAACCTTCCAAGTCATTTTATGACAAACATCCAGTTTAGCTGCAACAGATCATATACTGGTTACAGGGGAAACAGCACACTGTTAAAATACTCGGTTTTCTGTTTCAGGTATGAGTACACTGTGCTCTAGCCCTGCATTATGTGTTGTTATTTGGAAGGATTCCATCTTCCACAGCCATCGATTGATTTGTAAAAGTGGTAAGGTGCAGATAACACCTCCTTAGATATTACTCTTGGTACATCCTCTATGCTAGGAGTCCATTGCCACCTGCTTGGCTGTAAATCAGATGTATATCCAAATATTCTTCATTCGTGAAATCTGACATGCTGCTTCTGAATGAAGTTCAACACCCGAGAATTCTGCGATGCCCACTAATGAAGTGTTGGCCACTCTCTTTGTCAGGCTGTCCTCTCGATATTCTATTTTTGAAATTTTGACCCACTAAATGTGGTTTGTGACCCAATGTTATATGGTAATTTTTCATACTTTTTATACCCACTATTATCCCTCTGAATTTGATGGTCAAATTCGAAACACTCAGTATATTTCGATTATAATACATAAAATACTGCAAGAAATAAAGTACATTACTTACCAAATAGCTTCATTACATACCTTGTACATGATTTAAAATATTTGTAATTTAAATTCTACACTTGCACATAATTCAGTGCTTGCCAATGCATTATTGTTTACTGTTGTCACATGAAAGCCTACGTTATGGCTAAAGAGCCAGTAACATTTAGCACATCTAAAAACCTTTTTTACATACATTACACCATTTCAGAAAAGGGGGCTATAATACACCACATAAACAGCTTTTATTATGTTCAGCCATATCAAACGTTCTAAACAATACTCAGTACACTATTCTAAATGTAATGGTCATAATTTCTAATATACCATATCCTTTTTTAAAAATTTCTGAAATCCAGTTGAGCATACATTGAAAATTCAATGACTAATTTTACTATTAATCCCCATAAAAGCTTTAATTACTAAAAATTACACACAATATTTTATTTGTTGTACATATTATTTACATAACTATTCATAAATTATCATTATTTGCAAAGTGCAGAATTGGGGAAATCTGCAGCAATATGTACAGGAGCTTCGACTACAGATTCTATCAATCATGTAGAACATTCATTTGAATTTTATCCACTAGAAAAATTAACCATCAAAATTTTTAAATTCTTATATTTTCCAATATTCAAATATCTTTTCCATACCTTAAATCTATTATCATTTCACAAATATTAAATCATTTATTTCAGCTTTCAATAATTTAAAAGAACACTTATAATAAGCTTGCAACATTTTTTCATAGCTATTAAATTTATCAGTAAACAAGAACTGACAGGAATTTTTGCAATAAATTGTATAATCTCATAGAGATTATTCTTTAATATGATATTAAATTTAATACTAAATTATAACACTGTTACATTTAACACTATTGCCAAGAGTTTTTTCAATAGACTGTATCTCACAAAGATTATTTCTAATACAATATTTTTTCTGTACCCCCATTCACATCATTTATGTCTGACTCAGAATGGATAGAGCTGCTATTGTTCTTGGAAACTTTATATTTTTTGCAATAACTGATTTATTAGTTGAAATTCAAAATTTTTCACTTTGTTGAGTCTTTTAAACTAAAGATATTGGAAAAATTGGCAATGATCAGTTAATTTTTATTTTATCTAAACTGATAGAATAAAAATGGTAGAAAACTTTAAAACGTTACACTATATCAAAGAAGAAATTATGTAAGTTTAATGAAGTTTATGTTGCAGCCAAGTAAACATTTCAAAGTAATGAATGTGAAACATCAATCATACAATACTTCAGTATAAAATAAGTCCTTTGAGAAATGATAATGCTACATTCAACTTTTACTGCAATAGTCTAAATTACAAAAATGTTTGAATTTTCCCATCAGAAATAACAGCATATACAGTTGTTAAAACGTAGTATTAAGTTGTTGTCATTTATGAAAGATTTAAAAAGAAACCTTATTATAGTACTCCATTATGTAGGATAGTGCATTAGCAAGAAAATAAAACAGTCGGCTGCATAGCACTAATACACAGATGGCATACCTAATGATGGTACAACAAATATCATTTGAAGTTTTCAGGTATGCAGCAAATTAAAAATAATCAAATTATTTGTTTACTTGGATTGAATATCAAATGAAAAGCACTGGCCTAGCCCAACTCTCACTCGCCAGTGTATTACATAGTATTATTACCATCACTTTAACTAATTAACAGTATTTTGCCTAATAAATGCAGGAAAGATGTCAGCACATTTAAAAATGTCTATCTGGAAGAGCTATATACATATAAAAATTATAAACAGATGAAACAAATATTTTTTGGGTGAAATATCACTGAAGCATGAAAACCATGAAAACTCATACACCAATGGGTTTTTCAGATATTCTAATATCACACAAATTATTAATATGAATTAATTGATGCATGGCAACTTATTTATAGCATGCAAATAAGATAAAACATGCTGGAAATCAAAAAAGATATACCTTGCATGTTTGGTCCCCCAGAAGCTCAAAATATTCAGGAGTAGGAAAAAGTAATATCCAGAATTACAGAATTTAATCACTAATTAGAATCAATTTACATTATAAACCATGCACATATAAATAATGCTGGATTTAAAAAGAATAAAACATTTATGAATTAAACAAATCACATTTAACCCCATTCAAAAGAGTTCAGTAAAACAGAGCAAGAAGAAAATATCATGCAAATAATGTTGATACATCTGAAAACATCTATATGTATCAATATTTATATAAATATAACAAGTGTTACATATTTCCAAGCCCACCTATTTTGGGCAGATTGATTCCGATGAGAAACTAATACTGATTGTTGGTAGCTTGGAGGTTCAGGTCTTAGATTAAGTTCAACATCTGACTTTGTCATCCAGCCTGAGCAATCTGTCACTGAAGATAATCGGCTATCAGGGTATAGACTGTGATCATAAGAAGAAACTGACTCTTGTTTTTCTAAAGAAAGATGTCTAGTTTGAAGACTGGAATCAGTTTGAGATTTAGGATTCATTTTATGTGGACATTCACTTTTACTTGGAAGTGATTCAGCTACTGTTGGCCATTTGTAAATATGAGTTTTAGGTTTCACAGCAAGTTCCCTGAAATAATTATTACCAAATGACAAATAGCTACTTGGCCGAGATCCTTTCTTTGTATATGGAGGTGGATACCTTAGCACAAGTTTTCGAGGCAGTTCCTCTGAGTAAACAGTTCTTTTTTGCACTGCTTGTGTTACAAGAGTATAACCACATTTTGGAAGGCCAAATTCAGAAACAGGTATGTTATCACACTGTTTCTTAGTAGAATATTGTTTAGAATGTGTAGAAATGGAATCAATGGTAAAAGACAAATCAGTTTGAGTTTTTACATTACATGAATCAGAAGTTTTTCTTTTTCTGTTCAAAAGTGGCTGAGAGCTACAAACAGAAAAGTAATTTCCAGATGCATCTTCACAGTCTTCTTCCAACAGAATGGACAGTTTTCGAGGAAAGATGCATTCTCTAAACAGAATGGAATTAAGCTGTAATTTAAGATAAATAACAAATATTCACATAAAAAAATTCAAAATATACCCACTCGCCAAAGCAGGAAGACGGTGAATTTGCCTTATTTCATGTTGTATGAAGAAATAATTAAAAGGAGAACAAAACAAAACCTGCATGATAACTAAAAGAACTAAAAATGCCAAAAGGTTATCAAAATGTGGATGAGAGGCTTATTAAATTTCATTCAGATATTTAACTATAGTCGAAAAAAACTTCATACAAGCACATATTTAAAAAGCTTCAATAATTAATACCATGTTAAAATCATAGTGATATTATAAATCATGGCTTTTCTCTTAATGAAGCAAAATTAAAGAAAGAGAATGAAAGAAACAACTAAACAAAATTGAATTTCAAAAACAGAATTTGCAGGGGCTTAAAAAGAAATATGCATTCCAAACAGAAATAGTTCTTGCATAAATTCCCTCATAAACATAATATTATTACACACATTATAAGAACATTATATTATTTCACATTTTAAAATTATGTACATAAATACATATTATTCATGAAAAACAATAAATTATTGATTTTACTTCAAAGTTAAATAAAAAAAACCACGTTCAGTACATTACATCTATATTGGATAAAAGATATACAATTTGTAAATGCTATTGAAATTAAATAAATGTACACTTATTTCAAAAGCAAAAAGACGCAGCTCCTAAAAATCTAATGAATCAATTATACTTGATTATTTTCGCTAAATAGAAGTTTATACATCTAACTGTTTTTACTTTGAAGTTACTACAATAGCTGCAAAATTTTATTATTTATAATCATGAAAATGTTTTCCTTTTCACTTTATCATTAAAGCTATGCTTTAGTTAAGTGAACAAACAAAAAATTTTCATAACTTATGGAATAATTTTATATTTTTTGGTATGTAAATATTTTCCTATCAACTATGGAACTTGGCAAACTAATGCCAGTCACTCTGGCAGAAGGCCATTTCTTTAGGTAGATAATAACAGATCTCAATTTATTTAATTATATTATAGGGTTAATAATTGATTAATAGATTGTAAGGTTCCTTCCTTTTATTCTATTAAACTAAGTGTTGAAGAACTCAGTGAACAGCTAAGCGAATAATCGGTTAAGTCCATGAACAAAACAAAACAAAAAAAAAAAAGCGTAAACTCAAGAAGGGTTAATTACCCTTTATTTGCTCCAAATAAAGATATAAAATGGGTTCCTTTCTCAGGGTGTACAGCAAAACCTCGACTAAAGATATTTAGCTGAAGCTAACACAATTCTAAACTAGTTGCCCCATAATATTAAATTAGCTAGTGCAGCTATCAAAGGGCACGTAATGTGGCAGAGCATAATAACAGTTTAGAGAGACGTAGCCAAAAGGTAAACGCATGCTATTCAGGAATCCTAACTTTGTCTGGCAAAGTGAGTGGAACTTGACTTAAATACTATTCTACTTCTCATCTGCATTTAACCTGATTCAGAAAACTTATTCTCGTAAGGAATTGTAAGCTGAAGCTAGAAGAGATAGGAAAGTGGCACAAACTTAAAATAACCATTATAAAATTAAAATATACCTACAAGATAGTCAATAGATAAAAATTATAGATATATCAACTTACATAAATATGAGTTCTTGCTTTGAAGTTATATGACAAACAAATTCACTAAAACATACATGAATCATTCTGGTGGCTGAAATTCTCTAATGGCATATAAAATAGCAACAAGATAATCATCTTCTTTATGCACTATGCATATTATACGTTTCTTTAAATACGAATTTAAGTAAGGTCATATGGTTTCCAACATTTCTTTACTGCCCAATTTTGCCTATGCTCACAGTCAGTTTCAATGTTTTGAATATGCATACACTTTTATAACCAGACACTTAATTTTGTAAATATTTCACTCTAGCTGTTCTAAAAAAAAGTAGAGCCAAAAGTTTATCCATTTTTTTTTCTTCCAAATGAAAGAGAAAAACACAGAAATAATGCTTTAACTTACATGTTTCTTTGCATAATTCAGCTGATCGCAGGTATGTAAAAACCAAAGTTAAAATATTTTGAGCCAGTGTTTTGAGGTGTCATGCTTATCCACGACTGATGCTAAATTGCGCTACTTGCTGACAATTATTGTTTATCAAAAATGAGCAACAGAAAAATATGCAAGTGCCCATTTTTAGGAAAAACACAGCTTAATCTATTAAAACCAATCCAAGAAAGATTCTCTTTTCTTCAAATGTAAATGTTACTGGTTTTCATCTCAAAAATTTATAGTGAATATGTAAGAAATTACATAAAGTCGGAAAAGGGATCTAACAGCTGGCACCTAAAAGGACTTCCAGATGAGATTTAACAATGATTTCATAAAATTCGTACCATATTTGTATTTTTAAGCAGTTAATATTTGACTTATTTACTAAAGCAAGAGGAAAAAGTGATTAAAACAGCCTCTTTTACCTGTTCAGTAAATTAAAAGTTATAATTAACTAGTTTTGCTAGATAAGTAACATACAGCAACAGATTTAACAAATAAATTTATGCCTTCATGACCAGAATACAAGACTTTCTTCTAATTTTTAAGAATATTTATTCTAACAAGGCTTTATGATTATGTTATACATGTATGAAAGCAAACAATCTGAATTTTTATAGCATACAATTCTCATTACAATTTATTGAAAATTTCTAAGTAAGGTGATATTAATAATTTAAAGTTTTAAATTTAATGGAACTTAATAAATCCAACAAATTTAAAATGTATACAAAAACTGAATTCAGATATATAACTGAAGTTAAGCATAAGTTAATATTTATTTTTCATATAATTTTCCTTCAAAATTAACTTGAAATTAACTTTCAAAATTAACTAATCCAACATAATATTAAGAGTATCCCAAATTATTACAAAAAAGTATAGAGAACTTGTCTCGTTTATGATACTTAATATAAAACTTTATAATGAAGTGAATAATTACTTGTTTTCTTCACTATTTGTGCATTCCTCAATGTTTTCAAGTGTATAACTTTGCAGCTTGATATCTTTCGCTTTTTCTTCAAGACAAGTTTCTTGAACTGTATTTTCATTGCTTTCAGTAGCATCTATTAACTTTGGGTTTCCATCTTTAACAGCCCTTAAAAAGCTATTTGTCCGATGACGAGGATAAGAATGGTCATCAGGGTCTCTATGAACTTCACAGATATCTGAAATAAATCCACAAGGAGATGATACAGGAGAAAACATTAAAGATGCTCCTTTGCTTGAAGAATGATTTAATTCACTTGGAAAAGTACTAATGTCATCATGGCCAATATAAAATGAAACACCAGACAATGGCTCAGTCTGAGTTGATTTTGTGACAACAGGAGATTCAACTGGAAGGGTTGGACAAGAAAGTGAAGTATATCCACAATGCATTGGTGTCGATCTGCGACTTGCATATGAGCTACTGCTTCTAGAAAATTATCATATTATATTAGATCTATCTCATATAAACATGTAATGAAATAAAATGACATAAAAAGTAGCAGAAACAAATTCAACCTAAAACATGTAACTGATTTAAAATTTTCAATAAGTAAACAATAATTCTAATACTTTGAATACTATAAAATACAACCTTGAAACTAAGCTCTAAATGAATGAAATAACAGAATTCCCATTCATTTTATGACTTCCCAAACCTAAATGGAACTATTTCCTTAGCCAAATATAATACACTAATTATCAAATTAAGAATGAGCCAGTGAATATTTCCATGTGTTCACAACAAAGTATAAGGAAATAACTAAGATTATTACAAAAGTTTCGTTTATCTTATTTATAATTGTAATGGAAATGAGAGAAATATGTTTGGAAAATATGAATCTAAAGAGAAAAACACAGAAATAATGTTTTCCATTTCAGAAAGTAGGTAGTGTTTTTGTACAGAAATATCTAATTCAAATATCAAACAGAAAAAAAAAAAAAAAAAAAAAAAAAATGTAACAATAGTATATCATTTGTAATAAATATTATTGCTGTGGCATCTGAAAATTAAAGAGAATTATACTGGATTGAAAATTGTGTTTAATTAATAGAGCTATTGATTATAACACATATCTATTCATAATGACTTCTATATTTCAATATTCATTTCAATTACATTTTTAAAGAGTGGGGGCAATAGAGCAAATATATTTCCATAGAGAAAAATGAATGACAGCTTACCAGCTGGTGAAGAAGGGAGCTACAGGTTCATAAAATTGCTTCTGATATGAATACAGAAAAATACTTTGGGCAAGAACAGCAAAGATTACTATAACTCCTTATTTGTTTTATTTAAAATATGTATTTTTTATTACTTAAGATGATCTGTATGCTAATTTTCTCCTAATTTCTTGGAGTTTTTGGAACAGATTTTCCCTGAGTTTTCTAAAAAAAATTTTGTAATTTCACAGACTTTTCCTGATAATTTTTTATTTTCATACATTCTGAGATTTTCCGAGTGGAACCACTGAAGAAAGCATACAGACTATCAGCATATTTGAAGGGCATCTCAAAAGTTAAGTTTACAAAGGGATATTACTTGAAGAGGAAAATTTATTTCATTTACATTTATTATTATCAGCAGTCTACTTAATATAGTAACAGTTATTAAATTATATCGCAAGGCAATGACACTCCTGTTATCAGCAGGTCAGGACAATAACCATCTGTTGGGAAACAGATTATGTCTGTGTTTTAGAACCAGAAAGGCATATTACAGGCAGACTTCTAGCTAAGGGGAGAAACAATAAGGCAGCTGCTTATGATGAAAAACTGAAGTGTTGACAAAATGCATCAGATGTCATCATCCTGAACTGCACCATTATCATGGTGATCAAACAGAAAAATAAGGCATCCATGACAGAATGCAGTAAATAATTAATTTACTTGATATATTATCAATTGTAAATTATATATAAAAAACCTTTTACAGTATAAACTGTTAAAGGTTTTACTTTTGGTACACCCCATATACTAATACCTAATGAACATGCAACATTATACAGCATTTTTTCACACTTAGATTTCTAATAGCTTAAAAAGAGATCTTTGATTTAAATTTCATAGCATACATAAGATTTTTTTAAAACTTACCTATTGGAACGATTATACAAACGAGCAGGAACTTGTCCATCAAAACTTTTACACTGGAACATTGCATCCCCCAAATTCTCTTCTGAAATGAAAATACATGCAGGTGAAGTGAAAAATTACTACAAAAATATATAAATGGTATGTTTCTCACTTCTTATTAAATAAATAAAAAATATTTGTGCTACATTTTATATGTAAATAAGTAATGAAGAAAGTTAAATGAAGGAAATGAGTGTTTTTCAGGGAAATATTGCCTCAAAATATACGCTAAATCTTATAACAAGTGAATTTCAAATTCCTTGCTAGTGTAAGGCAGTGGTAGAAAGCATTTGATAGAAAATATAATGGAATTCCAACCCTAAATAATAATACATAAGTTTTAGTTACAGGATACACATTCAATAAAAATGTGTAAGAAGTGTCACTGTAAAATACATGACTACCACCCTTAAAAAGAAAAGAAAATCAGGGAAGAATAGCTCAAATGTTCCGGATGTTTTTAAAAGAGATATTTTGGATTAAGTAAACAAAACAGTCCTCAAAGTATAAATAAATACTATAATATTAACGTAGTTGCACTTAAACAAGGAAGGCAAAAAACTTGCTACTTATAGAGGCAACATTATGTAAAAAGCATTTATTATTGACATACATTAACATATCATAAATGCCTTTTTCTGAAACACTCCGCTGAAATAGAGATGTAGAATAATGCTCCTTAGAACATCAAAAAATAATTCAGTTCAAATATCCAGCCTGAATGGGGAAAAAAATCTAAGCTGCAGTTTAGTTACTTCACTGATCATTTGAACTACATTCCAATTATTTAAAAGAGGACACAAAGGCAAAGCCCATAAAACTAAAGATTAATATAGAATATAATATTTTTAATTTAACACACACACACACAAAAAGACATAAGTACATATTTTACAATGCAAAAACACACTGAGTTGGCTTTGTACTAGCAGGCAGTACTAATGAGTTCACAAACTTTCTCAGACTCATGAAAACAGTTTTGCAAGTTCTTAAACTTCCTGTATATATAATAAGATACATGTTCAGTTCAAGCACAATTTGAAGACAAGGTTAGAATAGAATGAAAAGACAACAGCAGGTCTTGATTCATTCAAGCCAGTTCATAAATGTTCAGTTGATATAGAGAGGGGCTCAGAGGAAAATGGTAAATTTGTTATTCCATTCCTCCACCCATTTTAGCATATAAATCTGATAATAACATGTGGGCCTTTTAAAAGAGTGTACTGAGATTAAGAGACTTCTAATAAGTATAGATTGAGATGGCCAGCTCAGACATCATTTTAGCATTAATGACAAGGTAAAGTCTTTTCTGATTACACCATCTATTTTACAAGTCATACAGCAAATCCAAGAAGATTGATACCATTTACACTATAAATGTCCTTCTATGTTTTTAGAGTTTGTAGAGTCATTAGGTTACTTTTAAAGCAGCAAACATGAAAAATGTGCAATGCCCCTGCTGGGCTCGAGCCTGGACCTCTCGAATATGCGTCGAGTGTACTATCATTACACCATGAAAGCATGCAGAAAGGCAATGCATTGCATTGCATTATTTAATTATGGCAAAGCACACGAGCGCTATCTGCCTAAAGGGAGGGATGCCTTCGTGGAGGACTTTCTAAGGGAAACTGGCTCGTATACACGTTACACATGGGGAAAACCACGAAAACGCCCATGCAGCCAGCCCATTCGGGGATTAGAACCTCGGACGGAACTACCAGTGTTCAGCGTCTTTACCGCTCGGCCACTGGTGGGCCCATGCAGAAAGGAAGGAGAAAATACCTTGTATACCCCTCTTTTAAAGGGCAATTGGAGGACCCAGTTGTCAAATCTTGCTAGTGAGCAATCATCATCCACCAAATTTTTTAGTTTGGGTGCGACTGTAGAGTCATTAAAATTTTTAAGTTAGGAAACACGAAAAATGAGCAATGCCCTCATTGGTACTTGAACCTGGACCTTTCGAAAAATGCACCGAGTGTGCTGCCGTTACACCATGATGGCATGCAGAAAGGAGGGAGAAAATAACTTATAATTTGATAGCTGATAGTTCTTACCCATGTGAAGAGTTTGAAATACATAAACATTTTAGATAGCATTGTTGATGTTCGGCTGTGAAAGTTGCGTGATACAAGATAAAAGCTGTGGGCACTGAAAAGAAAATTTCACCCCAGTTGTATTTGTAGATGATAGGCATGACAATTGTACTTTATGGCTTAGTCATGTAACTATGTATGATATTTATTTCTAGGATCATTAATTGATTGACCAGCTTATTCCTGCTGTTTGTCCACACATTCCTGCTGTTTGTCCAGTTGTATTTGTAGGTGGTATGCATGACAGTTGTAATTTATGGCTTATGTATGATATTCAATTCTAGGATCATTAATTGACCAGCTTATTCCTGCTGTTAGTCTACACATGATTAATCTAGACATAATTTATTCCCAATTAAGTAGTGCACGAAATTTTACAATTAATCTCTATTTATTAAATAACAAAGAATCTGTATGTATGCATGTTCCTCACACTATGAAAAAATGGCAGCACTTAAAACAGCAAAATCGTGAACACTCATAGTCCTTATGCATATACACCTTTATAAACTAATTTTGAATTTCAAATTTGGTTTTGATTTGTTTCATATTTTGAATGAATTCAGTGAATATTTGATTAATTGAAGTTAAGTGAATATTTAAATATTTGAATTTTGACTAAGCAAAAGGGCTAGGGTCTTTCAAATTTAACCAGCAAACTTAGCAATTTAAAAGAAATGTGTTACTACTCAATAACTCTACTAGCTAAGCATAAGCTCTTTGAAATTAAATCAATAAACTCAGTGGTACAAAGGAAATGCATTGCTACAGTCGAAGACAATATATTTTTAACTTCCACGTGCCAGTGTTTGGCTATTTGGCAAAATATCAGTTACTGATGAATAAACGGAGTGATTTAAGAGCAATAAATGCAGTTCTTAATATTTTTTAATCTGATTAATATAAATAAAACTACATTTAATTCGTGATATATCTAATTAAAATATTACATATTTTTATGAAATTACTCAAGTCGCACTCATTAAAATCGTTACACATTTTTTCCTTTTTTACAAAATCAATTTTAGGCATCTGGGCATTCCAAGCAGCTAGTATATAATTATATTGGTCATCTGGAAAGATTTAAAGTTTTTGGAACTGAGATGCGCTTTCTTTTTATTTTGTTACTGCTGTTAAGTAGCGATCTTGACTGAAGCAGATGGGTAAATACGGTCTTTTCTGCTCAAGTTGCATAATTCTAGCATGTGTTGTAGCATAATTTGTTATTACACGCCATGCTAAAAATAAGGACCTCAAAAGTTCATTTTATCATATTATATTTTATTATTTAGAAAAAGGGGAACCTGCTATAAAGACTACTCACAAAATTTGTGCAGTATAAATACAAAGTTATGTTTTTAATGGCACAGTTTAAAGGTGGTTCGAGAGGTTTAAATGCGGAAATTTCATCTTCAAAGATGATGCCTGCCTTGGAAAACCTACCTTTGTAAACAATGACCTGTTAAATGAAGCTACTGTTGAAAATCCACGTTAAATAGAAGAACTATCAGACTAAACATTAAAAAAAAAAAAAAAAATATAGCCCATGATCATTTGGAGAACACTGGGATGTAAACTGCTAAGAGGTATAGGTGCTTAATGCTGCAACAAAGCAGAATATGCTTTCTATGTTTTTGGTATGGTATTCTGTACAGAAAGGATGTAAAGAAACTTCTTTTTTGTAATGGCTCTTTACTGGAGATCAGAAGTTTATACTATACAATAATGTCACAAGAAAAAGATCCTGCACTGCTCCAAAAGAACATCCTTTAGTAACAGAGTGGCTGTATCCCAGAAAAGTGATACCTTGTGTAGGGTGGGACTAGAAATGAATTGTATACTAAGAATCATTGCCACTAAATCAGGCAATAAATTTGGAAAAATACTGTTCTCAAATGACAGCCTGAAGAATGAAATTCAAAGCAAAGCACCCAGAACTGATCAAGCATTGAGGTTTTATATCGTCATCATCATCATGACAACTCTCAGCCCTACATTTCGATGAATGTTAGACAAAGACTTATTCAATTCGGCTGAGATTTTTGTTTCATCCCTTCCCCATATTCACTAGACCTTGCCTTCTCACATTTACATCTATTAAGGGGACTTTGAAATTGGTCTGGAGGTCGTTTCTTTGGAGACTGTCAAACAGCATATCAATGACTTTTTATGAATAAAGCATAATGAAATTAAGTATTTATTTACTTTTATAATTCATTAAGTATTTATTTATTTATTTTTATTCAGAATGAACACACTAATGAGCAAAAGAAATCTAAACAGCTGTGTTAAAATATTTTAATGCTTATAAATTTAAAAAAAACCTTAGAAAAGCTTTGTGTATTAAATTAAATTTTTTATGAATATTATCATCCTGTAAATTTTCGGCACCTTTCTGTTATAAATCTGCCATGCATTTTGGTGGGTAATTTAAATGTAAAAATATTTTTGGTCATAAGAATAGTTTAAAGATATATAATCATAGACATAGCACAATAGGCCAGATGGTGCTATCATTGAGTCTTGGTGTGTGCTTGGCTTCTCTTTCACAGGTTCTGGAAAATAAGAATTTTCCAGCTGCCAGAGAGATAGCAAAAAGTTATAAAATAAAATGGTGCTTATGTGATTCAATGAATTTTCTTAAGTTTTTGCACTTGTTGATTAGCATTTATCATCAAAAACTGACAGAACGTTACAGAAAACTGAATATATTAATTACTATACAATGTGTTGGTGATGAAACATGTTTGCTTGAGAAACACTGGCAATTGTTGCCAGTCCTCCTCCCAGTTACTCACCACTAAGATACTGTATGGCCCTGAGCACACTGCTTTCTCATGATCCCAACATACATTTTCCTTACTTTAAAGGATCATTTCTAAGTAAGTTTTTCTCCTTTTCAGCCATAACCTTTCACTTAAAATCACACTTTATATAATGCTAAAATAACAGAAGATAATAATTTGAGGCTTGGTACGAGGGCTATCCAGAAAGTAGATTACGTTTTGGAATAAAAAAATAAACAAAGTATAGGAAACAAATTTTATTATATACAGATGAAAGCCACTCAAATACTACTTTCTACATAGTCACCATACAAATTAAGGCATTTATCGTAGCGATGTATGAGCTTGGAAATTTCCTTCGTCGAAAAATTCGGCCCCCTGCGCCTTCAACCACTTCGTTTACTCTTCTTGCCTTCCATCTGCCAAAACTTGTGGTAACCAGCTTTTCGCTGATGATTTCGTGCAACAAACTTCGCGAAATTTTGGGAAAACCAAGAAAGTTCCGTTATTGTGAATTTCGATTTTCACGGACTTTAGCATCGACTTTTTCGAGAAGTCGGCGGCACTAGCTGGGTCTCCACTTCCGTCTTCGTCGTGAACATTGGTTCGGCCATTTTGATCTTATGACCCACTGACCGCCTCCACCTTCAGTGATAATGTTGTCCCCATACACTTCACGAAGCTCCGATAGATTTCTATCGGTTTACAGTTTTTTGCAGTCAGAAACCTGATTACTGAGCGCAGCTCGCGGGATTTTCAATTAACGCAGACCTTCAAACCGTCACAGTATCTGAACGGAGCACAGCACGAACTCTCACTAGCACGCTAGATGCAGACTGAGCTGCGCAACGCTCTGACCCCAAGATGGCCGCGCTAGCCCCGCCCCTAGCGGACACAGACGGAAACGTAATCTACTTCCTGGATGGCCCTCGTACATTGCCTGATATTCTGGTGCAATATGACAGATTATTTGCACAATAATTTTAGGTGGTAGCAAGAAAAACAATAAATTGTATACATAATACATAATAATTACATAACACATTAATACATAAGAATGACTGGAAGTAATTTATGAAATAAAAATTGTTTCTTTATTACAAAATATTTATCATCATAATATTAAACAAGAGATGAATATTCAATTAAAATGCCTCCACAATTACATATTGATTATTATGTATTATGTGGGAACCTTTCACAGGTTTTTTTCTTTCCTTTCTACTTTCTTCTTTCTGCCCTGAATATATGCTTTAATTATTTGTGAATAAAAATAAGTACAGTTAAAAAGTCAGTAAATAAGATAAATCTGTAACATGTTCATGTATATTTGATTTTCTATAAGTCATCACTGCCATTCGTTCTGATAAGCAGCATCTACCATACTAAATATATTTGAAATGTAATGCATGTATTCATGAGAAAGGGAAACAAAGCATCAATTTTGTTTAATAAAAATTTCAGAATTAACAATAACTGGAACCATTTACTCAGAATGCCTTTAAGCTTTGTATTGTTGGGCTTTTAGATGAAGCTGCATATATTCTCAGGTAGTGCAATTTACTATGATGTAAATTCTCTTAAAGTAAGCACCGGATTCAAAATAAGCAATTATCTGTATATTGGGAAAGAGCTAGGTAAATTACTTGGAACAAATTTGACTTAGCAAAAGATAATTACAGGAAAAGAAAAACTAGTATCATCTTACTATTATAAAGAATTTACAATGAATCTTACCTTCCAATAAAGTACGAAGTTCATTTTTACCATCAGAGCTTTTTGGCGTATGTTCTGAACTTCCATCTTTTAACTAAAAAAGGAAAATATATTTTCACAGAAACTGTAAGATATTTCAATGGTATATTGAACAAGAACTATCAAATAATAAAATTAGGTCTATTTCCAAACTAATTTTCACTGTCTGATACTTAGAAAGAAAGGTTCAATTTAGATTTAAAGAAAAAAAGGCTCACCAAATATGTAAATAAAACTTGACTTCGTACCAACTGCTCACGCAATGCTCTAATTTCTGCATTAATTTGTTCTGTAACTGCCCTAGATTCAGGTAGCTAGAATTTATAACAAATGTTAGAAAGTTTTTCACTGCAAAATATATGCCAAATAAATCAGCACTAACAACTTCAGAGTTTATTATAACAATATATAAAATGTTCCTAATCCATGCTCAATATAGCAGCTACTTTACTGAAGTTAAATATACTGGGTGATCAAAAAGTCAGTATAAATTTGAAAACTTAATAAATCACGGAATAATGTAGATAGAGAGGTAAAAATTGACACACATACTTAGAATGACATGGGGTTTTATTAGAAAAGCAATAATATATCAGAAAAGCAATAATTAGCATAACAAATTAAGACAAAAGCAAAGATGACTTCTTTACAGAAATCTCATATGTTCACCATCATTCCTCAACAATAGCTATAGTCAAGGAATAATGTGAACAGCATGATAGCATGTCCGAGTTATGGTGAGGCATTGGCGTCGGATGTTGTCTTTCAGCATCCCTAGAGATGTCGGTCGATCACGATACCTTGCGACTTCAGGTTAACCCCAAAGACATAATCTAATCGCCGACTGAGTCTGGGGACCTGGGAGGCCAAGCATGACGAAAGTGGCGGCTGAGCACACGATCATCACCAAACGACGCGCGCAGATCTCTTTCACGCGTCTAGCAATGTGGGTGGATCACCATCCTGCATAAAAATCGTACATTCCAGCGGTGTTTTTATCAGCCAGGCTGAGGCGATGTGATTCTGTAACATATCGGCGTATCTCTCACCCGTCACGGTAGCAGTTACAAAACCAGAATCACGCATTTCCTCGAAGAAAAAAGGCCCGATAACAGTACTTTTTTAAAACTTTTTTTGATTCTAATAAAACCCCATGTCATTCTAAGTATGCGTGTCAATTTTTACCTCTCTATCTACATTATTCCGTGATTTATTAAGTTTTCAAATTTATACTGACTTTTTGATCACTCGGTACTTACTTTCCGTTTTTGTTAGTAATTTTACATTATGTAAAATTTCATAAAAGAAAATTCGGTACTTTTCTGTTATGCATCTGCCATGCATTTTGGCACCTGTGAAAGAGAAGCCAAGCACATACCGAGACTCAATGATAGCACCATCTGGGCTATTGTGCTGTCTATAATTATATAGCTTTAAACTATTCTTATACCTAGAAATATTTTTATAATTAAATTACCCACTAAAATGAATGGCGGGTTTATAATAGAAAGGTACCGAAAATTTTTCCAGATGATATTATTCATAAAAAATTAAATTTAATACACAAAGCTTTTCTAAGGGTTTTTTTTTATTACATAGGCATTAAAATATATTTAACAGCTGCGGAGATTTCTTTTTGCTCATTAGTGTGTTCATTCTCAATAAAAATAAATAAATACTTAATGAAATTATATAGTAACAATATATAAAGATCTGAAGAACAATAAAATTAATCATTGAAAATGACTAAATCAAATGTGGATATGTTAGATGTAAACTAGTATTTCAACATCTGAATAATTATAGTATGAGAAAACAGTATTACATAATTCAAATAATTACCTCACATTCAACATTTACATCTATAAGACTCTTGTGAAGGCGTGATGAACCTGAAAACAATGGTAAGAAGGAATTTATGATTAAAGATATTTAAGAATAAATTCACTACCTCAGTTAAAATTTTTTTTAAATACATGCACTAAAATATTGATTTTTCTAAGCATAATTAAATCATAAAATTTAAAAACAACAGAAAAATCTCTAACATTGAAAAGATCATATATATTGCAAGAAAAATTACAATCTATTTTAGTTAAGTGGTATGGTTTCTTTAATCCTGTCATAATTTTTTAAAAAAATTTTATAATGAATTCCTCATTTTCATTAAAACACTTTGCTTACACTCATTAATGACCTAAATATCATTCATAAGAATTTAGAGGTTATGCGAATAAAAAGCAAAGGCAATGACAAATTAAAATAATAAATTATATACAAATGCAATAATTCATTATTGATTCTTCATTTTGCATATCAGACGGTTAATATTAACTGAAAAAATGAGGGAAATTATTAGAAAGTACTGCTGTGAGCGAGAAGTAGTACATAAAGCACAACTGTTTACTAGTACAATTGTTTCAGCTCCTCATAAAATCAGTCTTCAGAGTTGTAACTGAATCAAAAATACAAGTAACGAGGAAGAAATTTTCTAGGTACATAATGCTTGCCTTTTAGAAGAAAAGAATCAGGTGAGAAAAACTGAAAAACCTAACTTGTATTTTCTGAACATAGAAGACACAAGAATTCCTTCTTAAGTATATGATCAGATATTATACAGTAAAATATGTACATAATTTGGAAGTATAAGCTAAGGAATTATTTTTGGTAATACTGGGAAACACTTGAAAAAACTCTGATGGTTTGATGGACTTGTAAAGGCTATTAAGCGTATTTCAAAGCAGGAAAAATGATTAATGCTCTAGATGGGAATCAAACTCTGGACCTTTGAAAGCCAGCTAATCATGCTTCTCCATACACAATGAAGGTAGTATACGGTAAAGACAAAGAATAACTTTACATACTTCCACAAAATTTGCAAAAAAGCTTTTGGTGTCTAATAAATAAATCTCCTTAATTAATACATTAATCATGCAATATTTTTTTATTTATATCCATTAAGTTAGATAATGTGCTATTATGATTCAGCCATTTACATAAATGTAAAGCTTATGTATCTATGTATTCATTTTCAATGTACTGCTCTCTAAATTTAAGAAATTTTATTAGAGAGAACACGTTTTACTAAAAATTGGGATTTTATACTTTTTTTAGAAACAAAATTTTATTACAAATGTTACTCAAAACATATTCCCAAAACAGGAGGATTTTTAATTTGGGACATACCCAGAAAGTAATTAGAAATATGGATCCAATGATTAGTAATGTCAAAACTGCTGTAACTTCTGTAATGTGCTTTAAAAGTTTACTAGAATTAATGAAAACACACATAAAATATAAACAAATTATCTGCTTTTATATCTCTACTTACAAAAATGTTAAACAAAATGATAAAAAGCATTTACATACACTTACTTTTAATCACAGGTATATTAATCATATTTGGCTGATAACACAAAATAATTACATTATAAAACATAGGTTTAATTTTAGAATTTAAACAGGTTATTAAAATGAGTGCACACAGATTGAGTCCCATTTTAATCAAAACTCATATTAAACTCATATTAACTAAATTAATTCTAAGCTTTAATATATATTTCAAATAATATAGATATTTACAATATATGCTTAAATTCAAAGCTTTAATAATAAAGGAATCAGTGTATAATTTAATTTACTAGCATATCAAATTGCACACATTTTTAACATGTTTATCTGCTGAGAAATACTGAAGCTGAAAGATTATAGTCACTTTAGAAAACACAATTAAATATCCTAGACATGAATTACAAACACAAAACTTACCCTGATTAACTTCAATAGATTTCTGAGCATCTAAAACAATACTAAAAAGGAAAAAATTAATTATGTCAAATGAGCCGTATTAAAAAATAAAAATTCAGGAACAAGAAAAGGAAATTATATGAACCATTTCCCTCAATTATCAAAGGAAATAAAATCAATAACGGGAAAAGGAAATTAAATTTTTTTTAGCTAAGATTAATAGCAAACAAATCCTAAAATTTACATTGAATAGAATTTAAATATTGCTTTCAACATGGCAAAATAAATTTAGGATATTAACTTAAAATAATTATTCAATTAAAAAAATTTTTTTCTAACCTTCCAGTTTGTTGATGAACAACATCTTGACGAGAACACCGCGAAACACAGCTTCCCATTTTTAAATAAATAACTGAATTTTGAAGTACTTTTTATAGGCAATAAAAAATTTGCCTAAATTAAGTTTTGAAAATCAGACTTTTGCTTCACTTGTTAAAACGGATTTCCGTATACTTATAAAGCTGCATGAATAAACTATTTTTAGCTTCACGCTAAGGTATCCAAAACTGATTTGGAATGCTGAAGTTCTGACAGGGATTCATAACTATCCTACATTAGACAGCACCATTTAAAAGTTGTTGGTGCTATCTATAAAATAATTATCACATGCAGTAAAATTGCAAAATTAGCTTCATTTTTTTGTTCTGCAAACTATACTTAGGATTCTTCTTTTGACACAATAACAACTTAGTAACATCTATGACAATCTTATCCGGAATTCTAGAATCATATTGCATTTTTCTACACTGCAATTTCTCCCAAGAAATTTTCATGCAACTTATGTGTAGAGACTTAGCACACTGAGGAATTACTTTTAAACCCTAATGTATTTCATATACAACGAAGTTTCATTAAAAACGTGAATATATTATAACATATTTTGGTTTTAGAAAAAATATAGGATTCCTTTAAATAGACACATAGGAATAGAGCTACTTAAGCAAATTGCACCGCAAATGAATTCTTAATTCGAATAATTAACAACAAGATGTACCCGAAGACTGATTACGCGACCATATAAACAACTTCGCAATCCATTATTAAAAATTATTCTTGATCAAACACGTACCGTTTTATAGCTGGGAGGAATTGTAAAAGTAAATTTTAGAGGAAATAACAGTATTCAGAAATACTAAAATAAATATTACAAATTATTAGGAAAGGAATTTTTCAGCGTAATAAAAATACTATGCATTTACGACCAAGGCGATATCCAGCGGTTGAATGACAATAAGGATCGACGTAAACAATCCACAGCCATGAATCAATAGTAAGGGCGCCTAGGATCACTATGAAGAGGAACAATAATATTCATTTCTCGAATAAATTTTCCGATATATACTTAAAGAGTATTTTTTAAGATAAAACTGGTTCTCGTTGAACGCAGCATCACAGTCGCTAGCATCCGCATCCCGAAAATCGATATCATTAACCGATCTCCCGAGATGCGAGAAGAGAGATGCTATGTAACAGGGGACGCGTCCAAATCTGATGTTGCTTGAGCGCGTGTATTAAAAAAGAGAATAAATTAGCAACAGTAAAACTTAATTTCAAAATATTTTGGCAAATTAAGCAATAAACAGCATATACATATATATATAAAGTTAAAAACAATTAACAGATGATCCAGTTCGGACAGCCAACAAGGAATAGCGACAGTTTGATGTTCAATAAATATAAGGTTTTTATCACTTTATACATAAATTAATCACATAAAGTTACATAAATATTACACATAAAGTAATAATTAACATTAGTAACTAAGTAAGTAAACTAACTTCAGTAACTAATAAGTAAACTAAGTTAACGTTCGTAAATCTGTTTAAAGCTTTGTTAAAGATATGAAAACTAAGACACAATAACACGCCGAACAAATACTAATTCAGAAGTCAAACAACAAAAATCAGCGTTATATTTTCAAATTTTTGAAATTTTGTTCAACATTTTGAAAATATAACGCTGATTTTTGTTGTTTGACTTCTGAATTAGTATATGAAAACTAATTGGGAACTACAAAAAATTTTTTGTTTTGCAAGTATTATAAACGGCCATGCGTAAATTGTCCCCGCAACTGAAGGAAATAAAAGAATTGAGAGGAAGAACAGCATATAGAAGTGACACTGTAATTATTTAATAAGTATTGCAATGATGCTCCAACATACACAAGTAACACTTTCGAACACCAACTGCGGTTATCGCGCGTTCTGGCAAAAGCTATACATAAAACTATACTTATATAATATATACAAAAAAAGCACCGTTGAATTAATAAATTACATAAGATAGGCCATTTCCAGCATTAAATAAGATAGTAACAGTGCAATGTACACTGCGGGGGGGGGAGTTCTATATCTCCCGGTTTACTGGGCTCATTGACGAAATTCAAATTGCGTTTTTCATGTCTCGAAAGTGCGACTTAGGATAAATATCAGATTTATATTTAGCATTGTTCTAATACAGGTATTTTGACACAAAATTGGACCTTTTCTGAAATGACATGCCAAAGTTTTTCCATATTTTGATTCTGCGACTCGGATTAAGCCTAAATATGAAATTTTGTAAAAACTGGCGCGAAATTTAAGGAGAAATTCAAAAATTTATCTTGGCGCAGACTGAAAAGAATGCGCCAAGAATAATTTACTTAGCGAACTTCTTAATATATAGCAACCTATTTTCCCTTTCCTTTTTTTATTGATGACGAGAGGGAAAAAAATCATCGTTCATACTTTCAAATAATTTTACTAAAGAGCGTGAACCACATTTGGCGTTATTATCTCTTATAACAAATTTCAAAACGCGCAAATATATAAATTCTTGTATATCTTAGAAAATTTTGAATAAAAAAACTTTAATTTTTTGCAGGTGCGCATGGCAATACACCTACTACAAAAAAAGGGCGAATTTTATTTGGAATGTACCTAAATTTCGAAATGTGAAAAGAAGAATAAAATAAGTTTAATAAAAAAAGAGATATTAACAAATATATAACAAATTCAATTAACACTGAGGAGCTACAATTTTGAGGGCAAATTTTTTAAAAACTACTCGTCCGATTTTTACAAAATTTGGCAGTTTAGCATAATTTGAGTCGTAGAACCGAAATATGGAAAAAACATTGTCATGTTATTTCAGAAAAAGTCCGATTTTGTGTCAAAATAAGTATATTAGACCAATGCTATATATAAATCTAATACATATCCCAAGTCGCGCTTTCGAGACATGGAAAACGCAATTTGAATTTCGTCAATTGGACCAGTAGAACGGGAGATATAGAAATGTTCTTGTTTCAAAATTTTTTCCTCGCAGTGTACACTACACTGCTATCTACATTATATATTACCTTCTACATTCTAATATCTACATTATATATTACCTTGCGTTAATAAAAAAATAAGAATTATATTGTTTTCGCCTAGTCCTTAAGATGAATGACAAAATAATGTATCTGTAAAATAGTACATGTACGGTATCAGGAATAACAGAAAAATTAATGTGTTCTATTAAATTACTGAATAAGCAAAGAAACGTCAGACAATAAGGCTCGCGTATTTCTACTCATGGTTGGAATGGCCGTATTTAGGAAGCGATGCTGGATGAATTGGAAGCTGCTCTGTCTTTTCATGATACAGTCCATTTTCATTTGTTTCATATTTTGAAACTCATAAACTTTTTTAACGTCATTTTGCGATTTTTACTCGACCGCAGTAAACAGTATATAACTGAAACTGCAAATCTGGAGATATTTGTGCATTATTTACCAAATCGAACAAAATAGTTTATCTCGGGTCATTTTCAATGAATAGCTGCCAAATCTTGACGAAGAAGTCGTTTTTATTCCAAGAATGTTTTTTTTTTTTTTTAAACAGAAGTCAAAATCAAAAGCTTTTTCAATAAAATTACCGTGCAAAAGAAATTTAGAAATAACTACTAAATGAGATATTTACATGGGGTGACAAATATACAAGAAGATCCTTACAAAAGGTAGTATACAGCATTAACTGCAATCCTGAAAGAAGCCAAAAGAGTACAAGTAGAAGTAATTTTAAATACGAGAGATATCAAGGTCCTCCCACAAGCAATATCGTTTTTCAGATAAGGCTCATTAAAACATGTTCTTACACGTTTAAACAAGTAATTTGCATGGATGTATAAATATCACTGAGCAAAGACAGCTTCATTCAGACAGGAGAGACTCAGGCGACACGGAGCATGTAGGTGTCCTCTCGTTCTTGCTATTTTGAAACTCTATTTTACACTTTGATTTTTCTGCGATCCCGCGCTCATAAAACGTCGGTACTTAAACTTCAGGTGCAGCATGCTTAGAAGCAGTCTGGGAAGCGTGTCGTACTCTTTAAACTATGAGTGCTCTCGCTATTTTCGGTTTTAGACTAATTCCACGAACTCATCAGGGATCGGTTGCTTAATTTTTTGGAATCCGAAATTACAAACCTGGAAAAAGCCAGAGAAGAAAAGGGCTACCTGACTAAACAGGAATCCTGCGACTTTATGTTTTTCCGATGTTTCAAAATTTTTACTGGTCAGGAATTTCTCCGAATTAATGCTGACAAACAGTGTACTTCTCAAGGCAATACTGCATCTTCAAACAGTGAAAATCATGATTAATCCCACTCCTTCCACCTACCAAAGCTAATGCTCAGCTAGGACAAAGCACAGACAAATCTAATGAGAATATTACTAAATATAAAGTTCTCGATGAAAATTCTGACTCGGATAGCGGCCGAAAGAGTGATGTCATGAGGAGAACTCGTAAGCCAATCAGGAAGCGCGTTCCGCTGAAAGTGACTAACAGTGCTGATTCGTCGACAGAAAAACTGGATAATCCACCAACTTCAGTTCTGAATGAAATTGAAAATATGGACATTACCCTACCTAAGGATGTTGAACAGCCTTTAAACATAACTACTTAAAGTGTTAAAGGACGTAAAACACCTCCATGATCAAGGACCCTAGAAATAATTCGAATAAAATTAAAGTTCTGTTAAAGAGACACAGTTTCTCGCTTCAGGACTATTACGGGCATTATGAAGAATGGAATTAAAATCCAAGCAAAACTATCCACCATTTACAAACAGATCACCACAATGCTTAATGACCGAGGTATCCTCGATCACTTCTTCAAAAAGGAACATCAAAGTCTGCTTACGTATATGAAGACAGATGAAAGTGCTGAGGAGCTTGTAGCAAAAGGATATACGGTTCTAAGAGTCAACCAACTCGCAATACGCAGAATAGGTGAAATTTTCAACCTCCCGCTGCTTCTAGTAACCTTAGCCAGAAAGGAAACCAGTAAGGAGATTATGGCAAGATTCATACTTAGTATGCAAATTCAAGTGGAAAGATACAAAGGGCAAGTAGGACTCTTGCAATGTTATCGTTGCCCAGGGTTCCACCACTCACTAACCATCAGTCATCATGAACATCCTTGCGCTCGCTGTGGTGAAGCTCAATAATAGATGAGATGATAGATATGAGAAGATAAGAATGAGTCCCCGAAATGCACTAACTGTCAGACGACACAGTCAATTTTACAGTTTGTGAAGAGGTCCCAAAACAGACCATTCCGCAACCGAAAACCTATGCTGACAGATTTGTGACGAAGAAATCCTATTCACAAGCACTGTCCAATGGTTTAGCTTTTGAATCTCTGAGAAGCAAAACAAGTATTAACTGAGCTTAAAATGTTCTTCACTGTTATCAAAGATTATTTGGCAAAGTGCTCGAGGGCTGTATGTCTAAAGGGAGGGATTCGTCCGTGGAGAACTTTCCGAGGGAAACTGGCTCGTATACATGTTACATATGGGGAAAAACACGAAAACGCCCATATAGCCCATCCGTTCGCAGGGATTCGAACGGACCGAACTACGAGTGTTCAGAGATTTTACCGCTCGGCCACTGGTGAACTAATTATCAAAGAATTAGGCATACCTCTTCTGCTCAAGCAAATAAGTGCAGAAAGCAATACTTCATCTCAAGACTTCATATCTAACACTCTTGTTAATGGATAATTATATCTAGACATGCACTCCAATCCGTTTAACAGTCTGGAATGCCAAAGGTTTCCATAGCAGAACCCATGAGTTGAAAAATGTTTTCACTGAACACGATATCGATATGTAACTAATAACTGAAACGCATGTTCAACCGTGTCATAAACTCAAAATTCTAAATTATCCATCATATAGCTGTAATAATACAAGCCACCGTGAAGGAAGAGATATATGTTAAACGGAAATGATATATGTTAAACGGAACTTTCATTCTCACTTCATCAAGAAAAGCAAAGATCGTAATTGTGAACTCGTTACTGCGTGTATAATACCTCCCACTCACTTCAGTGGTTTCTACAATCCTCC